TGACAAACTGTTTCAGGTGCTTTTTGATCCGCTGGGATATCTGCGGCGATTTGAAAATGTTACAGATATTTGCAAAGATTTCTTTGAGACTCGTAAGAAAAAATACATAGAACGCAAAAATTTCCAAGAAGGATTATTGCGAGCACAAAGCGAACGACTTTCAAACCAGGTAAATACAGCAGTCGATTGTGAGTCATTCTAGCGTTCAAAAAAGGCCAGATTTCTGGCTTCATACTAAAAAGCTTTCCCAGACAATCGGTATTTTTTAAAAATTTCGTTTTTACAGATTTTTTGTAAATTTTACGAGTTTCACACCATCCTTCGCCATCAACTTGCTTCTAAGCAACCCTTGAAAAAAGGAATCACTGGCAGATTCCCTGTCGGGGTGCCTGCTGTTGAACTCTATGCCCTTCCGCTCTTCACGGAAAGTGAATGCGGAACGAGTTTTGGCACTCCTCTTATTCGAAACTTCTTTTTAGGCAAGGTTTATTTTGGCAAAAATCAAAGGCGAGATACTGATTGAGAATAAACGAAAAGCAACAATCGTTGAGCAACTCATCAAGATGGGTTTCGATCCGGATCCTGTGAAAAAATGGAAAGAGGAGCGGAGGAAGCGTGAGCTGATGTTGCTTGGTGAAGTTGCGCAAGATGAGGACGAAGAGAAGGATGAAAATGAGGAGGAGGAGGAAGTAAGTTCATTTTTGAAAATTCTTCCCATTTCAGACTTCTTTTTTACTCAAATTTTGATACTTTATGAGAAATCGGCCTAAATTTTTACTTCTTTTTTTTATGGCTTCTGTATTATTCAGATAATTCCATGCAGGCCTTCAAGTGGATCTCGTACATCGCATTTTTGCAAAAAAAAGTTGACTGAAAATGAACGATTCGGTGGAAAATTCAGTGGTGAAAATTAAAATTTTTTTTCGAAACTTTTAGGTGGATTTTTTGCAGGGCGCCGATGCGCAAGGAAAAGAGTTGACTAACAAATTAAGCGATTATGATTACTTGGTTGGTATGGCAATTTTGAAACTCTCTGAAGAGGAGAAAGACAAGCTGTTGCGCGAAAGCGAAGCAAAATTGCACGAATTACGGGTGAGACGATTTTTTTGATACTCTGGATCGGCTTTGACTTCCTGAAATAGGCTTGAAATCATTTTTAGTCTATTTTTGACTGAATGTGATGTGATTCATTTAACTGTGTATTTGTTTTTCACGAATTTAGTACGAGAAGTGGCGCATGGGG